AGCTTCCCTGCCTGTGTCCTGCCCCTGGCCAGCAGTGGGTGCCTGCTTGTGGGTGAGGAGCTAGCAGGGTCTTACTGCATTTTGTACTAGAGGATGAGTTAACTAGAAATCACAGAGTCACAGACTGCTTTGGTTTGGAAGGGACCTAAAAGACCATTTAGTCCCAACCCCCTGCCATGGGCAGGGACACCTTCCACTAGACCAGGTTGCTCAAAGCCTCATCCAGCCTGGCCTTGAACACTTCCAGGGATGGGGCAGCCACAGCTTCTCTGGGCAACCTGTTCCAGTGCCTCACCACTCTCTCCATGAAGAACTTTTCCTGATATCTAATCTAAATCTCCCCACTTTCAGTTTAAACCCCTTGTCCTGTCAGGATAAGGATGATGATCCTTATTCAGTGAAGAAGGTGTATATATAGGAATGCAATAACTTTTTCTTAAAAAAGAAAAGCTTTAGAAAGTTTACATCAAAGCTTTGATGAGCTTCAGATGAAGAGTCTAGAAGAGACAGAAGGGTATCGATGCCCTTCCGAATGAAAGCTGCCTGGCTGCTGTGAGAGGCTACCGAGGCAGGGCTGTCTGTCTGTCTGTGAGGCTGGTGCCAGCAATAACCTGTAGCCATTCCAGGAAGTAATCAATCCCTGGGAGATACAACAGTTCTTCAATCATTCTTCATGTGACATAATGCATGAATAGGGGGTGATTGCAGGACAGATAAAATTTTCTTGGTTTTACTTAAATGTGTGGCTGTGCCTGGTGTATATAATACAGTACTTGTGATAACTTACCAAAGCTTACCAAAATTAAACAGAAAATTGTAAATATCTAAATCACCTTCTTTTAAATACTAATTAGAACAATGATGCAAAGAATCAGAAACACAAACAAAGCTATTAAGATGGGCCTCTAAGACTGGAAAATAAAAAGAAAATGAAGGAGGACAGCTTTTGTTTGATATGTTATGTGTAAATTCTTGTTCTCCACTGAGGAAATTCTACCTCATAATGCAAAGCTGGTGAGACATGCACACCTTCACCTCAGGAGCAACTTCATTTACTCAGTCAGCATCTGCTCACCCTGTGTGGTCTCCCTGTGTCACACGCGTTATGTTAGATCTATGCAGACTCAGAGATTTTTGGATACTAGATCTCCTACCCTTGCCTAACTCTTGCACTGTTGTTGCAGTGAAGATGTGAAGGCCCTGGCATATCATTTAGATCTCCAGAAATTATTTATCACACCATGTCTAATCCAGCACTGTGCAGCGATACCTGCAAGAGCTGCAAAAACTAGCCTGTGAGTAGTATTGTTAAAGAGCCCTGCTGGTGGCTGAGCTAATTAACCCTTGCACAGTGCTATGGCTGTTTTCCTTCTGGGCCCTGAACCTGAATGTTTCCACGGTGCTGTAAGTATAGCTCTGGCGCACTGGGTAGCAAGAGCCAGCAATCCCAAGATTCATCTGCATGTGAGCTTCCATTCTCAAGGATGGGTAGAAACTTGTATCCAGCCAGATAAGCTGCTTGTTTAGAAATCAATGTATCTTAAAAATGAGGTTTACAAATGAATCATTAATCTAATCTTATCCCAGAGAGCTCTGAGAAGCTGAGATGAACATAAATGGAAACCTTGGTTGCCTTTACCATTCTTGCATGCAATATTTTATCTGGTTTGCTTTGGAAACACTTTCTTAGATAATAGCCCCTAGGAGGAAAAGCCTTCATACCATAGCCACTTTGGGACAGCAGAAATACCATCTATTTGTACTGCTTGTTTCTTTCAGTTGTTTAGTCTTAACACAGAGCTGTGGGACTGGCTCCCACCAGACTCAGGGTTTCAGCTGAATGATTACACCACACACTGTGGAAGGGAGACTGTTTCCAAATTGAAAACAGATTCTTATCCCAGTGTCTGTCTTGGCAATATTTCTCTCCACCCATACAGATCCAAGGCATTATATATTCTCTGATGCCCCTCGGTTGGTGGGTGGTCCTAGCTGGTACATTAGTGTCTGCCTGGAAGCTTTCTTGGTTTTGCAGGTCTAAGCAGAATCAGTTTTTACTTACGATGGTAAATATGGACAATGGAAGTGTATGAATGTGTGTACAGGTGTCTGTGCAAATCCTCCAGCCAGCTGTAAAGATCATCTCCTTCGTATTTCAACTAAGGGTACGCCTGCATCGCAGCCGTGAGTGAGCTTTCGGCTAGTCCACTCTTCCAGCTGTACCAAGTTAGGCACAGCTCAGCCTAACGAGCACTGGTTCCAGCTGTACCTGCTGGGTTGTACAGTCTTTGCTGAAGGCCACTGGGAACCAGTTTAGCCCCTATTCTGACCAGACACGCTTCTCAGTTCCTCAAGACATCTGCCTCAGTTTTGAGTGCCTCTGCTAATCTCACTGGCAGACCCCTGCATGAAAATGAGATGCAGGGTCCTAAGTCACCTGGGTATTTTTTGGCAACATTTTTTCCCCACATTATTCAATTCATCACCAACACTTGGAAGGTGCTGGTGCTCACTATTTTAATACAGTATTTTAAACCATGTGTTGCATCAATTTAAACCAGAAATGGGGTATTGACAATCAATGCTATGACGGTAGTGGGAATGAGGGGAAAATGGGATCCAGATTGTTTCCTTAGGGTTCAGAAGTTTTCTCAGGCATTCTCAATTATTCTGATATATTTTGGTTGCTCCTTGCCCTACTCGTGATAATGGAGTGATTGGTTAGTTGTTCCAGGGTGTGAGCCAACTTCATATTTATAAAAAGAAGTGTCAGTGTGTTGAGCTAATTGAGGGATTCAAATGGCTGAATGTTCTGGGAGCACAAAATAATTGCACACACACAAGCACAAACAAGTCTGGAACAAAATGGAAATACCCTCCCTAAAAAATCGTTATGCAGGCAATTGAGTAGGGGACATTTCCGTCCACTGTCTGTTTCTGAATGGTGAAGACAATGAGTAGGCCAAAGTGCTAGGTCTGTGTTAGCAATTACGTCTTCACAATTATTAGATTTTTTTTTACCCAAGGGACAATGTTTGTTCCAGTTCTATCTGAAAAGTCCAACCTAATGTGGATCTTGCTGAGCTCTTGAAAATCTTTTACACCCATGGTGCATTTATTTTCCACCCTCCTTGCATCTGGATGTAATTATTACATTTCGTAAAAACAAGAACCAGCTGCAGTGCTGAAAGCGCTGTGGAGCCTGCAGCCACATTCTGTTTCCTCAGGCTCTTCTGCTGGTATGGGTACAAGATGGGACTGAAGATGGAAGACAACCCACACAGGGTATGAGTTTACTTCCACATTATGTTCAAGCGGTTCCACTGATTTCATTTCAGTAGGTCCTGATCTGCATCACAGCTAGCAGCGGTGGTGCAGCCACTACTGGGTATATATAGTTTATAATGGGTATGTTTGCTGTGACCTGGACTTTTCTGGCCTGCTTTTCTCAAAAGAAGAGTGCTGTGCTGGTAACGTGCACAGAGTGTTCTCTGTGGTTACACCTGAATCCTCCAGCTGAAGAAGGGCAAGGTGTGGTTTCAGGCACGGGCTTATGATCATAGAATCACAGAATGGTTTGGGTTGGAAGGGACCTTAAAGATCACCTATTTCCAACCTCCACTGATCACCCACACTGACTGCCAGTTCATTTTCTGTCTTGATTTTGCTCTTTGACAGAGTGTGATTTTTCTTGACAATGTCCAAGCACTGCTCAGAGCATGACTTCTGTTAGGATGTGTTCCCATAAGGCAGTTTGTCTGGGACTGCTCTTTTCTGGGTGAACACAGAGACCACTCCAGCACGTGGACATGGGCTGTGTTATGCTATTTGACTAGGAGGTCCCCACACTGCTTTATTCAGTAATTCACATATAGCCACTGACTCTCTCCTCTAATGGTAAGAAAACATGGCATGTTTCTTTAGTTACTACTGGAACTTGTGGCTTTCCTGCGAATATATAAATGCACAAAGGGTCTCTTTCTTCCACAATAAAAGGCCCTCCTGGATCCACACCAGTGTTTGTTATTTCCAGAGTTTTCTCTTGAGTGCTGGGGTACATGAAGGGAGTTGTATTCAGGGTTAAATGGTCTACATTAAGACATTTCAGCCTTTGTTATATCCATTATACTCATGCCTACCAGTTTTAGACCAGGAATCTCATTAGATTTGATCCAAAACAAACCCAGAAGAAAAAGATGGTGCTTGCCTCCAGGACCATTGTAAAAGAGACAACAGCTAATGTACCTGGGGAACTGAATCTGAAGAACAGCACTTGAAGTACCAGTCATGGCACATCAGCTGCTGAGTCACTGCAAACCTTAGTGTCAGCTGAGACTTGGTTGTAGCTGGCCAGCAGTATTATGCTGTTTGCTGCTAGAGCTAGAGGCAAAAGATATGCTTCCTTTCAGATCTGAGAAGGATCCTCAGTGGGCTGCATGGATGTCCAGACACGAGGGCAAAAATCAAACATTACAGTATTACTTAGAAGATTCTTACTTCAAAGGTCTGTTCAGGATAGCACAAGTGAGTGCAACCTGGGTACAGTTGAATCCTATTAACTCATGGGACTGTGATGAAATGAAAATTAAGTTAATCAACCTAATATCCCAAATCTACCTGCAAAAATACAAAGAAGTTCTATCTTCTGTCATAAAGACCTGTATTTCATGTAGAAGATGAAAGAGACAAAAATGCAATTTTTAAAAAATTTATTTTCTGGCAGCCCCCACACATTCTTCATATGCCAAGAGGC